ACCGTGTAAATAAAATGTGCACAACCCCGTTTCGAAACTCTTTGAGTGTGAGGATAAGACCCCGACGAGGTTGGAACTGCACTCCATTCGGAATGAGGAAGTTATTTTGGAGGCGAGTCTAAGAAAAATGCAATGGCACCATAAGGACTATTTATGTGGCTACGCGGAAAATTTCCCTACCCCCCCTTGAATCACTTTGAGCGACTTTGAGTCGAATAAGTTCTCATAGAAGAATAATTTGTGAATAGAATGCAATACAAACTTGACACTTCCCTAGGTCACTTATTATTTGAATACGAGATTTATAGTCTTGCAGCTATGGAACATTGGCATCAATTTGTTCAATAAAAAAACACATGATCATTCATGCCTTGATGTTAGAATATGTCTTTAAGCTGAATAGTGCCCTAAATACTGGAGCCTCTGATGATCATTGGAAGGAGTTCAAACTGCAGTAGAGTCTGTTTGAGAACGCAATGCTGAGTTTCATTTAAAATAATTAGACTTTTCGTTTTACCTCAACCTGACCAACCTAGTGACTAGGATTATCCATGCATATTCCTAAATATGATTAGCTGGTTTGCGCACTTCATTATTATATTAGATGGAAATTAACTCCATCTGTCGGTTAGGATGAGGTTTTCTTTGAGCATGTCAGTGGAATAATTGGCCAAAAATAACCTTAACGATCCTTTACTTAACGCTCATTCTCTTTTTTTTATATTCAATAGATGATTGTCAGGGTACACCAGGCAAACAAAACTACTAAGGCACTTCAAATTGACTCGGAAACGACCGCTTTTGACATGATTACTGTTTTGTTGGAGAAGAACTTTATGGCCCACACGACCTCGAAATTGGCACTTGTCGAAAAGGTTCCATCTATGAAGCTTGGTATGATTTTCTCCTTCTCAACTCGCCACAATTTTCATAATCTTTTTCGGTTAGCCATGCTTTCCCCCATTCTTAAGGCAGACAATAGTTTTGACTTGCAGTTCTTTTCTTCCGCATAAGACTTCTCAATTTGTTTACTGAATTAAACCGGACAGAGAATCGAACCTGTTACCGCGGATGTTTTCTAGCTCTATACTCTTCTCTTTATGAATACTCGGATTCGGCGGCCTACTCCGATATACTAGACTCACACTAATAATAGAAGGACAATAAATTGTTCCTTCCATACAACGAAAGGAGACTTAGAATATAAAAAAGACCACGCCATCTTGGTCTTCATACCTTCAAATAAATTATTTCGTTTATAAGAATGGTTTAGAGACTTTATATGCAATTAAATTACAAAAATTTGATGCTGCCTCGATTTACATATTCTTCATATTTTCAGATAACTTTAGGAGAGGCAATATTTACCACTATTTCCTACTGTTGTTGCGGACAGGAATAGCTTAGGAGTTACCCCAATGTCGTATTCGGAATCCTCAGTAAATAAGGGCGTGTGCATCAGCATTTCATAACCCTTCAGAATAATGAAATTAGTTAAATTATGTCTCATAAGGACGTTACTCTTATTCACGATTGTAGTTCAATAGGATGCCCCGATTGCAAAAGCATTTATCAGCTAAACGTTGCCTCCCATCCGGTTAGGACGGCTATAATTTGCTTAATTACTAAAGATCGGACACACAACGGACAAGAATTTCCCTATACTGGGGAGAACGAAAGAACCGTTCTACCTCTCATAGCATAATTGATAGGTTTATCTTTACTGATTACATAATTTTTCTTGGAGGGGATAGCGAAATATCATCACAAGCTAGGGTAGATAATGATTCATTAAAAGTCCTACGCAAAATTTAAGTGTCTCACTAGATAAAGCCTCATTAATGAACATAATATTCTTTTAGAAGTTCATTTTGAGCAGTATAACTTCAAAGAGTCTTGATTACAATTGATATCAGCAGATAAGGCATACCTTTTTGGTCAGACTTCTATAGAGTCTGGAAGTTGATGCTTGAGGAGCAAACCGAAAAAACGATTGTCTTTATTTCAGTGGAGGCAGTTTTACGGAATTTCTTTATATGAAACATTTGTCACTTCTCTCGTTACGTTTGGGATAGTTGTTTGGAAGCATGAAAATGTAAAAATTCGTCCTTGATCAGCCTTAGTAAGTGTTTACAGCATCGTCGAGCGGAGCATGAAATCCTCAACAAGTAGGTTGAATACACAATATATATAAAGGACCTAGTGGTAGTCTCGAATACCTACTTATAAACGAAATATAATTACACCATTAGTCGTTTTAGAGATTCTATGGTGACTAATTTTCTATTGATGGTACCTGAATTCCCAGACCAAAAGTATCCTTTTCTTTTTCTCTCCATTTGATTAAGCAGCAAATATTCGTTCGTCTCACTCTTCCTCTTTGGTATATATTTCTGACACGATCTTTATTCTATACCGCAAATTATCCTTTGTGTTCTTACTTAATAGTTTGTACGTGATGGAATCTTGTGATGTCTGTGCCATCTTTCAACATGCCCTAGCGCATTCACTTCTGG